AATCAATCAGCTGATCGGCGATTTTGTATGGGAGGTAATTTTTTTTTTTTACAATTCTACCCATGTTTCATGGGAAAAGTTGATCAGTTTTATGAGTACCTTGACCTCCTTTCGGCTTGTTATACCCTTTCTGTTACTCCCGGTATAACAGAACATGTTGTGCCAACCACAAATGACTTGGGATAAAGCAGCATGGCGATTATCATGATGACTTTAAAGAAATTAACAAGAAAACAACATTATAAAATATATACAAATTTTTATTAAGCCAATCGAATACATATAAATATATATAATGGGATAAATACTTAAATAAGTAATAATATATAATTTTGCGACAAAATGATAAGTAGGTATACCCTTTTTTTTGTTCAGACAATACTGTTATTGCGCCAAAAATATTGAATTATTTCTTACACTACATATGAGATCAAAACTATTTATGAACAGAAGACAAGAAAATACTGATTTTTGTAAATTTTTGAGTATGTCTGATTTTTTTAACTTGCTTTTGATAACATAATTATAATTGCAGTAACATGAAACCATTTTAGAAAGCCATCATAAATGAATTGAAAAAGTATGACCACCACAAAGTGATTATTAAATTAACTGAAGATCAACGGTATTAAAAGTTAAATGACAAAACATTGAAATAAACGGCATGATCAAAAAATAATTAAAGAAATGCTGAATAATATTGTAGTAACTTTAAAAGAATGCGGCAATTTATAAATTAAGTAGCTTCAGAGAATTTTAGTCATACTTTAAAAACCAAACTTCACAGCCCTGTTATTTGCAGAAAACTTATTTTGGGAATTGGAACATTGGCCAGTAATAAAGCCAAACTGAGAAATGTTGGAGTTAGATTCTGCGGACTGCGAAGATTGGTGCTCATTTATAAAAAAGGGTAGCCGCAAAGGCCGCCCATACCGAGACCGCGTAATCCAAGCCCGCCTAGGCCCAACCCCATGTTAGGTAAAGTCTCACACACAGTACCACCGAGGCCCAAACCACCGAGACCTAAACCGCTAAGGCCAAGACCACCGAGGCCTCCTAAACCAGCCAACCCCCCAAGACCTAGACCATTCATCCCTCCAAGACCTAGACCTCCCAAACCTAGACCGCCTAAACCTCCAAGACCCAGACCACCTAACGCTCCCAAACCTCCAATACCGAGGTTAGGGGTACTCTCACAGACAGTCGTGGATCCACCCAAACCAGGAAGACCAAGGCCAATCGGTGAGCTTTCACAAACTGTTGTAGACCCACCCAGACCTCCCAAACCTGCCATACCTAACCCACCCAGACCTAAACCTCCAAGACCCAGACCGCCCAATCCTCCTAAACCAAGCAGAGCTGGAGAACTCTCGCAGACAGTTGTTCCTCCGAGGCCGCCCAATCCAAGACCTGGAAATAGAAACACATTTATTTCTCATCACAATTTTAAGTACGGGGGTCTGGTAACTCTGCAGGTGACTGTACCATCCAAGTAGACAATGTGCAGAAATTGGTATATTTCAATTAGGTGAAATTTTACTAGTGACCGATAGCGAAAACTCAGAACCAGCTGGTGATAAGGAACAACTTTCCCCAAGGAACATAGGTCAAAATACGAAAAAAAAATTTTGACCTCCCATAGTAATTCAAATCAGCTGATCGGCAACTTTGTATGGAAGACACAATTTTTTTTTCGTATTTCGACCTATGTTCCTTGGAGAAAATTGTTCCTTATCACCAGCCAGTTCTGAATTTTCGCTATCAGTCACTAGTAAAATTTCACCCGATATAATATGCAGGTTTACCCCTAGTGAATAATGGGCATTCTTAAATATTCCATAGCATATATATGTAGTATACAAATAGATAGCTGTAGCCAAATATTGTTAATTCAAAATTCGAACTACCATCTTAAGACCAGTGACATGAAGAAGAAGTGGTACCTAGTTTAGATTATTAAAAGTTACAGAAATTACCTCCCATTCCGAGAGCTCCTAGGCCTCCTAGACCTCCCATACATCCAAGCCCTCCGAGTCCTCCCAGCCCTCCGAGTCCTCCCAGCCCTCCAAGCCCGCCGAGTCCTCCGAGGCATCCGAGACCTCCCATGCCCAATCCAAGTCCGAAGTTGGGTGTAGTGGATTCACACACGGTCGTGGAAGGCAGGCCATACCCGAGGCCGTTTGAAACGGTTTCGCAGACGGTGCCCCCGCAGGCGGGCGCCGGGTTGCCTTTTACAGCGTTGCATATCGCTGGAATCACAAATATTTTTTGTTTTATTTTAATTTTTATTGCACGAGGTACAAAAGGCGCGGGCATAATTGTTTGAAATAGCAAATCTTGTTGCCCAGGGTTCTCTTAAATGAAATTCACTTGCCTTAGAAATCGAAAATTTGGTATATGCATTGATCGGTGAATCAATAACTCAGTAGCAGAGCGGTGGGGCGTTGACTTCGAGCCCCGATTGATGCATGAAATTTTTTCAATTTCTTATTTTTATTTAAGCAACATAATTAGGAGTAGTTAACTAGTACTTATGGTACCTATTTATATTTATATATATGTGCTTAACACAAAGATGTATATATTTCAAAATAATAAATTACTTACCCAAAAGCAGGAGTCCGGTTTTCAGTGCCTTGAAAGCCATCTTCAGGTTTTCTTCCGATGGTCTGTGTCTCCTTCAAAAATCCCATACATTTTATACTCGAAAAAATCAATCAAAAATTTAATTTAGCGTGTTTTCTTTTCGACCCATCCGGCACGCTTCAGCGCAAGTAAGCGGAACCGATGTCACTTTCAATATTTTAAGAGACACTTTTAATTAAAAAATGTTTACATTTCTTTGGTTCATATATTTTATAATCGCACATTTCATTGACGTCTCCCGGTAAGCTAACGTCTCAAAAATGTAAAAAATACGAAATAAACGGTAAGTATTTACCACGTATTATCACAAATTAGGAAAACGGCGCGCGGGCGTCATTTGGCTCACTCAGTACTAGCGACGATTTTGACGCTTACTGACGAAAACTGGAAAAATCCGGTATCTCAGGGGAAGTCAAGGTAAATAAGAAGGTGGTTGACACGAATGTCATATTTATTGGATTTAAAATTGGCTCATCCTGAGGAATGACATCATAACATGAATGTCATATTTATTGGATTTAAAATTGGCTCATCATCATATTATATCGTACGACGTTTTTTGTCTGATTTTGCTGTTTTGACGTTTTTTACTTTGAGATTATTGACAGTAGCAACCCTGGCTATTTAACAAGTGCCTATCGCAAAAATCCCGAAATAGGGCCGAGTGAACCTTCTGGTATTATACTGTGTCATCCATCGTCATACATAAATAGATCAAGGATGTGACCACGATCATACATATCATATTATGATATTATCCGATCTCACAAGTGCGTATAATGTCTCCGTTGATTCGTTGTCACCCTCATACTTTGATTTTTCATGCTGGCACGGAATGACAATCAACGCAACCGATCTAGCCAATACTTACTTTGTGACGGATATATTAAGCACAGTATATACAGGGTGTTAATTTTAATGCGTGCCATAGCTTCAGGGTAGGTTAAGCATCGATTAAGGGTGCCGTAAAAATGTTTAGAAAAATACCAATCACAACATTTTTTTTTGCATTTAGCCAAAAGTTTTTTTTTAATCAATTTTTGACACTGTTGTAGTTCATTTATCTACTTTCGTCTAAATAAATTTAAGATTGAACGAATTTCGGCTGAGATATAGGCATTTGAATCAAATGTCAGCCAAGCAAAAAAAAAAAATTTGGCTGGGAATTTTTCCAATATTTTTTACGGCATCCTTTATTGATACTAAACCTACCCTATATATATGCACATTCTAATGTAAAACTATTATGATAATCAATAATATTTAAGTTTAATATACGGGAGGATTAACATATTATTTCAAAAAAAATAAGGATTCAAACTTACTGCTCGTAGAATAAAATTGCAGGTACACAATGGATGTTTACCTGAAACCAAATAAAAGAACATATGAGGATTATAATTTATTAAAAGTTTAAATATATGAGTATGATATGAGTTTAAGTATATATCGGATTTTCATTCAAATGACCTTTATTTATTCGAGCAATTCACAAAACTTGAATATCTTATATTAGTCAGTTTTAAAAGTTTACAATTAGATTTTTTTAACAAATGGCAACCTATATGTAGATTAGACATGGAGTATATAAATTAGATTAAATAATGACTGCAAATCTGAAAATCATTTTTGCAAATCTGTTGTGTCATTTTTATTTTTGCACTTGTCCTGTATTTGTTTTGTGTACAATAAATGGTTAAATAAATAAAATAAATTATGTTTTTTGCCTTAAGTTATTGATGTCACTTCCCATCAAATAGGTTTAGAAAAAGGATCGAATAGGTTTAGAAATTGACTAAAAATGGCAAAGCATAATATTGACAGGACTTGGATATCTCTTATCCTCCTTCTGAACCGATTTGACAGAAAGTGATAACACTAAAATTAAGAGAATTTAGTTCCCAAATTGAAAAAGATTACAATATTAGAAAAAATCGTCTAATTTTCCTTACGTCATCTTTAAAAATCATCACATTTGATGTGCGAGTCATCGATAAAAGAACGTTTTGAATAAATTTTACAAACATCTGAAATTCCGAGAGATGATGAAACAAAATCTGTATTTCCAAAACATTGAAAAATGCGATTAATTGGTTCCATTTCCTTTAAAACTGGTTTTTTATCATTAAATCTACATTACACTACCTAGCCAAGGTACAGTGCAAAAACGATGGTGACAATGAAATTTGTATTTTTGGTTGGTAAGTTGAATACTAAAGGTATTTAAAAAAAAACATCAATAATGTAAGGCATACCTGACAAACCTTACAATTTAATTCAATGCTTAAAATTTTGCTAGTTTTTTTTTTGTTTGTGGCCAAGATGTACTTCCATAATTCGCAGGCTAGGGTAGAACCGCGGTAGCCTAATTGGTAGTGGCGTCGGCAGTACAGATGCCAATGGTCGCTGGTTCAAATCCTGCCTACGGTGAAGTTTTCCAAAAATTATTTACGTGACACGGAAAATGTTTTGAAAATTTGGTTTTAATTATTGGTTATTCGTCATAATCCCGTAAAGGGATGAAACTAGTCCATATATGTATTTTTAAGATTGCGATAAGATAGCTATAGTATTATGTGAAAATGTATAAAATGTACTTTCAAATAAATAAAATAATTTAAATATTTAGTAATAAGTAATTATTTCATGAAAAGTCAAAATAATTTATAACACACGTAAAATAAATACTTTTATAAATAATTTTGTTTTGTTTTAGCTTTCGTGGCTGGTGCATCGGCGACTCCAAGTGTACTGGGAGGGATCGATACGGCAAATAAACAAATTTTCATGAGATACAACCTTATACCAAGAATACCCTACTTAGGTCATTATAAGATGTTAGTCCTAGGGTTTGGATTTAACATCAAATGAAGCCCTAGGACGGACTTTTCTAGAATTTGCCTTCATTATATTACTTTGTACTTAATAACACTAGCATAGTTTGACAGCCGAAAAAATATTACCAGCCTTTAATAAATTATTCCTAGATCATCAAAATAGTATATTTTGCATAATATGGTCTACTGCTAATCTTATTTTGTTTTTGTCTTTATAACTATAGTTTTTATGCAGCTTCTGCTACCTCAGCCACAACAGTCCACAGCTGGACATGGGCCTCCCCCAATTGGAGGGTATTGCCATACTCACCACGCTTGGCAGGCGGATTTGCGAGCGCAGTGCAAAATATTTTATTAACTAGGAACGCTGCTGCCCTTTCGCTGGATAATTGGCCCTTATTTGCTCTTTACGACACCCACGGGTAGAATTGGGGTGATGCTTTTCTAAGTCGGCATTACGGTACTATTTTTACGGCATCCATTATCGATACTAAACCTACCCTAAAGCTATGGCATGCATTTAAATAATCACCCTGTATAATAATATAAACAACCAAAAAAAACTTATAAATTAGGGTGCTCCACAAAGCTCTTCTTGTTTGATATCGTTCTAAATACCCCTCAGCAAAATTTCAGCCAAATCTAATGATATTTAGGGGTCGCTATGATTGTAGTTTCTTTTATATGGGATTTATATGGAACAAATTTCTTTTTGATGTTTTATATTGTAATAAATTATTTTTTATCCCATGTACATTTAAATCAGATAAGGATAGTTAGTTTTAATATTAATATCCAAAGCAAATGTTAAAAAAGTTGAATTTGGAAGCTACAGGATATTTTTTCTGTGAAAGTCCATCGAACGAAGGAGATACTGCTTCTGCTGCTTGTTGTTGGAAATACCAGCCTTCAATTTCGTGATAAATATAAAATTAATATAGTTTCGGGTCCAGTTCAATCATTTACTACTGTATTTTGGGGATATTACTCTTTATTTAAATGTACATAGCAATGGTAGGCCGTTTTGGGGAATTTTTAACCAAAATTTCAGCTATTTTGCAAAACTTACTGAGGCTTCCAAATACAACATTTTCAACACGTGTTTTGGTTAGAAAGCTACAAAGTAATTATCTTTATCTGTTTTTAATGTAAATATCGTAAAAATATATTAAATTTTTGAAAAATTGTTACATAGAAATTTGTGCCATACAAATTCCATATAAAAAAGCATCAAATCATAGCGACCTCTAACTGTGCTGCTATTGATCTGATTTTTGGTTCAGATACTTATTTTGTGTAATGGAACAAAAAAAGCCTTGTGGACAAGGTAAAAACAAACTTTTATTTTTTTCATACAAATTTGGACCACCCTATTATAAATTAATAATTGATAGAGTGCGTTTCATCAAATAGTTCCTTTGGCGTCATGTTGGTAGCATTGTAAATAAGCGCCTTCTTAAATTTGACGGATTAAATGGCGATCATTCCGGCTGGTCTCCGTATAACCCATTCGAATTAAGAAGGAGCTCATTTCCAATGCCACCAACATGACGCCATAAGAACTATTTTGATGAAACGCACTCTAGGCAATTTCTATATTTCAGATGAACGTGGCATTGAAAGAATACGCGGCGGTATTCAAGGACTTATTAACCCTGTATCAAATGTCAAGAATCCGTCCATCCATAGTTTTTTGAGACCTACAGTCAGGGCAACTGGGGGGAGTGGCCTTACTACACAACAACTCAAAAAATATATAAATACAATGTAATTTATACCGATTACTATGAAAAGTACTTTTATATGGCAAATTTGTAGATTCTTCAAATAATAATGTGCGTACATTTTCTTTATAAATAAATGCATTAGTTCTATCCATATTTCATACTTTTTTTATTGACAAAAAGAGTTCTCTGGCTGTCCTTCTTATAATTATTTCATTAAAATATAGAAAATGTGTTAGATTTTGTACGAACGAAATAATTCAGAATAGCTTCTATGAACTTCATACCTTTCATATACATTTTACACAAAATTACATGACACTGGCTGAATTGCTTAGTAACAAAAGCCATAATAAAAAAATAACATGTCAAACACGAATCAAAAACTATATTCTACCCGGACTTCACTACTTGACAGGGTCGTAAATAAAATACAAAAGATGCATGCTTAAAAAAAGTGTCCAAAAACACTATAGACTTCATTCATCGTTTGCCAAAATAATAAAAGTTGTAATTTATAAACAACAAAATTTTATAAAAGATTTTGTTTTGACTCCATCCAAAATATTGAATTATGACGTCATATTTCTATAATTTCATACAAAATATCGTTTTTGGTCGTCGTAAAAAGTAGCTCATTTGACCTGTCAGTCAAGTAGCGGATTGGCCAAGCGGATTGGCAGCACTGTTGACATCCTGCTGAAATTTCATAAATTATGATATAGAGGCAAACAATAATGTTTCTAAAAACTCATAGCTGAATGGTCGTTTGAAAAGAAAAAGTTGCTTTTAGGCTAGAAAAGACAAATTAAAGACAATTTAAAATATACACAATATTATGCATGGATATTCATAGACATGACCCGATTGCTACTTTCAATACATACAAAAGTATTGTGCGGAAATTATGTTTTTAAATCCCGAAAACAGTAAAAACATCGTGGCAGTAGCAGTAGAGACAGTTTATTACAAAATCCTTGATTTTTAAAATAACCCCTATAATATTTCGTCAACTCTGTGTCTTGTTTGTCTCTATGCCCTGTCATCTTGTCTGTTTCTAAGTTTTCGGGGTGGCAAAAGTTTTTTTTTCATCTCCTATATTGAGTATCGTTAAATGAACAAAATAAATGTTTCTTTGCAACAAAATCGTTAAAAAAATCGTCTCGAGTTGCATTTTATAGGGGGTGTTTTTGAGCCCTTGTTTTAGCTGCAATTCCCCTTCTAAATATAAATGTTCTCAAACCAAATTTACAATGAAAACTAGAATGTAAAGTCCTGAATAAAATACACTTAAAAACCAATGTCAGTTTTTTTTTATTTCAAGAATCATTATTCAATATATTTTTCAAAAATAAGTATATTTACGATAGATTTGTTTTCTTTGTATCATTATCAGATATGTACTTGTAACTAATGTAACTATACTAAATCGCTTACACAAGCGCTTAATACATTGATAAGGCAATGAAAACACCAAACCTACAATCATGGAACCGAATCAAACTTTTATTGTGTATCTTATACAAAATCAAACGTGCGTAGGTAAAACGTAGCTACATATTAATTAATTTTAAATATAAAATGTTTGTAGTTGTGAAAAGATTGCAGTGTGAGTTCACAAATTACTGAAGTCTTCATAGTCATGGTCATGATTTTGAAAGTCGTTTTTGCACTTCTCATAACTGGTAAGTACGAGTAAAATAAATTCGGCGAAGAGCATGTCAGACACGCCAAGAAAAAGGGTTTCTTAGTCAACGTATCATCTTGAAGTTGTTTGGTTAGCTGGTTTACCAAATGCAAAACTTTTCAGGCCCGTTCTCCTGAAAAGTTGCTACCAAATTCTTGCGACATTTTATGGTTTTTCGACATAGAAACTATAAAAACGATGTTACGACGTCTAATCAGCAATCTGCACCACTTAGTATAGTTATTTTCCAAAATTTTGGCATATATTGTATTGTATTGTATTGTAAACACTAAACATATTTAAAAACTGGTCCACACGGTATTTTGGGAGAAGGATCTCTAAAAGCTTGGGTGATACACAATCCATTACATTTTTTATGGTATCTTCAAATGGCGAGAGGTTCATACATGCCGAATCCCATTGGCTTACATCGGCATTGTTTATTACATTTTTCATTTATTTATTTATTTTAATTTTGTGATAGATATCATCATTATCTGCCTGCCCTTATCCCAATTTATTTGGCGTCGGCGCAACATGTCTTTCTCTTCCATTCTTCTCTTTTGGCCGTCAAATATTCGTTTACACCTTTTTGACTCATATCTTTTGATAGATATATTTTACGTATTTTATTGATTCATATTTTTTGATTGAGATATTTTATGTTTTTTGTTTTCAGTGCCGCTAAATAACTGCCGGCCACAGGGCGTGACTTACGTCGGCGTGCCATGCTTCGCTACGTCATCATGCACTGTACCGACTGCAGGGACTAGTTCCTACGTATACCAGCCTCCATGTGAGCAATCTTGCTCAAAACTTTATTCGCAACATTGCCCGTCATCTTGTCCAGTTTGCCCTTCACCCTGTCCAGTTTGCCCTCCTCCCTGCCAAGTTTGCCCGTCTTCCTGCCCAGTTTGCCCGTCTCCCTGCCAAGTTTGCCCGCCGCCCTGCCCAGATTGCCAGCAACGCTACCAAGTTTGCTCAAAACCCTGCTCAATTTGCCCTCCTCCCTGCCAAGTTTGCCCGTCTTCCTGCCCAGTTTGCCCCCCATCATGCCTAGTTTGCTCACAACCCTGCTCAATTTGCCCGCCCTGTCCAGTTTGCCCTTCACCCTGTCCAGTTTGCCCGCCGCCCCGCCCAGATTGTCAGCAACGCTATCAAGTTTGCTCAAAACCCTGCTCA